ATTATAATTTTTTTCTCAATTTCTATTTTTTATTTTTTGTTCATTTTTAATAGAGGTTTCAATGTTTTTTGGTTTTCGGTTGGACCTAATTTTGAATTTGATTTTGTATTGAATTTGCTGCTAAAATTTTTTACATGTTTTTCTTTTTCAATTTTTATTATTTTTTATTTTTTATCTTAGTTTTATTATTTGTTATTTTCAATAAAACTCTATCACATAATTCACATTAGAAAATAATATATTTAAAGAGTTTTTATAAAACTCAAACACAAATTACCTATTAATCTATTTATTATTAGTTTTTAAAGAAAGAAAATTTATTTTAAAAAAAATTATAAATATAAAAAGAGATTTTAAAAGGGTTTCTATAAAACTCTAACAGAAATTACTGATTTATCAATTTATGAGTTTTTAATAAAAAGAAATCTAATTAGACAAGAATTATTAATATAAAAAAATATTTATTAATTGAAATAAAAAGAGTTTTTAGAAGAGTTTCTATAAAACTCTAACACATATTACCTATTTATCTATTTATTATAAGATTTTTCAATAAAATGTAATCTAATTAGAAAATAATATATTTAAAGAAAATAAAATAATTTCTACAAAATTTACCACAAATTAGAAATTTTATTTTCTATAAAACTCTATCACATTATCTATTTATTATGAGTTTATTCAGAAAAAAAAATTATTATGAGTTTTATAGTAAAATAGAATCTAATTTGGCATAAATATATTAAAATAAAATAAAATAAAATAATTTCTATAAACTTTACCACAAATTAACTATTTTAAAATCTATAAAACTCTATTACATATGACCTGTGTTTACCTATTTATTATGAAAATATTTAAAGAAAATAAGATAATTTATATAAAACTCTACTACAAATTACCTATTTTATTTTCTTTAAAACTTTATCACATATAACTATATTTATCCATTTATTATGAGTTTTTTAATAAAAGGAAATCTAATTAGACAAGAATATATTTAAATAAAATAAAATAATTTGTTAAAAGAGTTTCAATAAAATTCAAAGAAAAATTACCTATTTATCTATTTATTATGAGTTTTTTAATAAAAGAAAATCTAATTAGACAAAAATTAATAATATAAAAAATATTTATTACCTAATAAAATTCAAATATGTGTTTCAGTATTTATTTATTAATGTAAAAAAAATATTTATTAATTGAAAAAAATATTACCTAATAAAATTCAAATTACCTAAAAAATTATTTCAAATTACCTAATAAAATACAAATTACAAATTACCTAATACTTTAATAAAAGAATTTTCATAAAATTTAAATTACAAATTACCTAAAAAAAATTCAAATAACCTAAAAATTTATTTCAAATTACATAATAAACTTCAAATTTAAAATTACCTAATAAAATTCAAATTATCTAAAAAATTATTTCAAAATATAAATAAATAAATATTCATTAATTAATATAAATGGAGTTTTTAAAAAAATTTCAATAAAATTCTAAAACAAATTACCTTTTTATCTATTTATTATAAGTTTTTTAATAAAATGAAATCTAATTATACAAAAATTACGAATATCAAAAAATATTTATTAATTGATATAAAAAATAATATAATTTCTCTAATACTCTACCACAAATTACCTTTTATTACGATTTTTTTTAATAAAAGGAAATCTAAACATACTAGGATATATTTAAAGAAATAAAATAATTTGTATAAAACTCTTTCACAAAGTAGCTATTTTATTTTCAATAAACTCTATCATATGATACAATAATATATATACAGAGTTTTTATAAAACTCTAACATAAATTAACTATTTATGTATTTATTATGAGTTTTTTAATTAAAGCAAATCTAATTAGATAAAAATTAATAATATAAAAAATATATTTATTAATTGATATAAAAAGAGATTTTAAAAGCGTTTCTATAAACTCTACCACAAATTACCAATTTATCAATTTATTATGTGTTTTCTAATAAAAGAAAGTCTAAATAGACAAGAATTATTAATATCAAAAATATTTACCAATTAATATATAAAATAAAATAATTTTATTAAAACTCTACCACAAATTACCATTTATTATGCGTTTTTTAATAAAAGAAAATCTAATTAGAGAATAATTACTAATATAAAAAATATTTATTAATTGATATCAAAAGAGTTTTTTAAAAAGTTTCTATAAAACTGTAACACATTTTACCTATTTATCAATTTATTATGAGTTTTTTTTTAATAAAAGAAAATCTAATTAGACAAAATTATATTTAAAGAAAATACAAAAATTTTTATAAAATTTAGCACAAATTATTTTCTATAAAACTCAATGACATTATCTATTTACTATTAGTTTTTTAACAAAATAAAATCCAATTAAACAAGAACATATTTAAAAATAATAATAATAATTTATATAAAACTCTACTGCAAATTAGCTATTTTATTTTCTATAAAACTTTATCACATATGACCTGTATTTACATATTTATTATAGATAACATTTAAAGAAAATAAAATAATTTCTATAAAAGTCCACCTCAAATTACCTATTTTATTTTCCTTAAAACTCTATCACATGTAACCTGTGTTTATTTATTTATTTGGAGTTTTTTTGTAAAAGAAAATCAAATTAAACAGGATATATCTTTAAAAAATAAAATAATTTTTTAACAGAGTTTCTATAAAACTCTAACACAAATTCATATTCATAATTTTTTTATAAAAGAAAATCTAATTAGATAAGAATTATAAATATAAAAAATTAAATAATTTCTCTAAAACTCTACCACAAATTACCTTTTATTATGTATTTTTTAATAAACGAAAATCTAATTAGACAATGATATACTTAAAGAAAATAAAATATTTTTTATAAAACTGTACCACAAATTACCTGTTTTATTTTCAATAAAACTGTATCACATTAGACAATGATATATTTTAAGAGTTTCAAAAAATTCTAACACAAATTACCTATTTATCTCTTTATTATGAGTTTTTTAATGAAAGGAAATATAATTAGACGAGAATTATTAATATAAAAATATTTATTAATTGAAATAAAAAGAGATTTTAAAAGAGTTTTTATAAAACTCTAACATAAATTATCTATATATCAATTTATTATAAGTTTTTTAATAAAAAAATCTAATTAGACAAGAATTATTAGTATAAAAAATATTTATTAATTGAAATAAAAAATAAAATAATTTTTCTAAAACTTTATCACATATAACCTATATATTATGAATCTATTTAAAGAAAATAAAATAATTTTTATAAAACTCTACCACAAATTACCTATTTTATTTTCCTTAAAACTTTATCACATATAACCTATATTTATCTACTTATTATGAGTTTTTAATAAAGAAAATATAATTTGACAAGGATATATTTTTAAAAAATAAAATAATTTTTTAAAAGTGTTTCTATAAAACTTTAACACAAATTACCTATTTATCTATTTATTATGAGTTTTTTAATAAAAGAAAATCTAATTAGACAATAATTATTTATTTAAAAAATATTTATTAATTGATATAAAAAATAAAATAATTTCTATAAACTCTAACACAAATTACCTATTTTATTTTTAATAAAACTCTATCACATTAGACAATGATATGTTTAAAGAGTTTCTATAAAATTGTAACACAAATTACATATTTATCTATTTATTATGAGTTTTTTAATTTCTAATTAGACAAAAATTATTAATATAAAAAAATATTTATTAATTGATATAAAAAATAGTTTTTAAAAAAGTTTCGGTAAAACTCGAACACAAATTAACTATTTATTTATTTATTATGAGTTTTTAATAAAAGGAAATCTAATTAGATAAGAATTATTAATATAAAAAATATTTATTAATTAATATAAAAAATTAAATAATTTTTCTAAAACTCTATCACAAATTACCTTTTATTATAAAATGAAATCTAATTAGAGAAGAATTATTAATATAAAAAATACTATATAAAACTCTATTACAAATACTCTATAAAAATACTCTATAAAAAATACTCTATAAAACTCTACCACAAAGCCGGGGTACATTTTACTTTCCTTCAAATGAAAACAAGAAGTTACTGAGTAAGAATTCCACAATAAGTCATTTTCCTTCATAATTGCATTGCATAATATATGTGTGTGTGTGTGTGTGTGTGAAGGGTTTTTCTTTAATTTAATATGTGGCATTATAATAAGATCGACCATAAGCACGCCTTGTATGTGAGATGAATTCAAGTTATATATATAGTTTTATGACATGAACAGATGAAATATTAATTATAGAACTTCAATAAACAAAAGTACGTACTTCAATTATTTCAAAGTTGTAACTCACTTTATAGTCCTACAGTGACATTTTCAGAAGTAGCAATTCAGTAAAGAGCCAGATAGAAAGTAGCAAATGCAAGAAAAGAACCATTAATAGGAACAACCCAAGGACACCTTCATAAATGCAATTACCCTGCCCTAGCTTTCTCATCTCTCTCACTCCCCACTTTTTCTGTGAAAAATAAAAATAAAAATAAAAATAAAATTTTTGAAGTAGTAGTCATGACACATAACTAGAGTATGGCAATGAAGGTCAGATATATAGCAAATTATAATAAACTTATTGCCTGAATTGAAGCAACCAGTACTTCACTATTTGTCTTCCAATGATTTTGAAATCATGCATATATTGACAATACTACTTTTGGGACTTCATTTTCAATTTTCTCGATCTAACCTTTTTTCACTCTATTTTCTTAATTAACATTCTCAATTTAATTATATCTAAATTTTTGCATTAAATTTCTTTATCACTTGTTTAATGTTTCCCTAGAAGATGCATGAGAGAGATATTTAATCAGTTACTAAGATGGGCGTTGAAGCCAATGTAGGTTATGGTTGTCTTTATATATAGATAACTAATTGGGTGGACAAGTACTTATTATATTATCAATCTCTCTTTCCTCTCTCTCTCTCCACTGCTAAAATCCAACTGCTTGCTTCAAAATTTTGGTGATATACACGGTGCTAGGGTTTTTTTTTTTGTCTCCATTTCCATTGCAAGCCCATCCCCTATTTAACCCTCTTCATCATTTCACTCCACATGCATCATCTTTATCACACCTATCTTAAATGTTATTAGTACCATGGGTGCTGAGCTTGGTTTTCTCTCCTTGACTCAGCTCCAAAAATTATCTGATCAATCTCTTCAACAACAACAATTGAATCCTAATTTGACCTCCACCGGCTCGTGGATGTGGAACCCAAAGCAAGAAACCAAAGAAGATGATGATTCATGGGAGGTGAGAGCCTTTGCAGAAGACACTGGCAACGTCATGGGGACCACTTGGCCGCCCCGGTCATATACTTGCACCTTCTGCAGAAGGGAGTTTCGGTCTGCCCAAGCCCTAGGCGGCCACATGAACGTGCACCGCCGCGACCGTGCCAGGCTCCACCAAACGCCGCCCGGTTCAACTAACCACCCCACCTCCTCCTCCTCCACCACTACTTCTTCCACTCTCATATTCCCAACCCAAGAATTCGTCGCCAATGGTGGTGGACTGTGCCTTCTCTACTCATTACCTAACCCTAACGGCGCGTGTATCGAATCACCCTCCACTCTTCTCTCTATCTCACCCTACCCTCCCAACGGATTGATGAATCCTTGCCCACCACCATCTATTAATTACCCGGTGGCGCCGCCTCCAACCATCAATTCCTCTCTCTATCACACTAGCAGCACTGAACCTACAGTGTCAGTTGAAAATGTTACTTATTATCAAAATAATAACGGCATCAAGAAGGAGTCATCAGCCATTGAAGATCTTGACCTAGAGCTTCGACTAGGACGCGGGTCCTCACCACCGTGACAGCTAGTCAAGATAACATAGTGTGTGTGTGTGTGTTTGATTTGTTTGTGCTTTTCGTTTGAGCAAGAGAGTGACAATTTAGTGTGTAACATACAGTCTAGCTAGTTTGATAGACTTGTGTGAGATTTGTTTTTTGTCTTTTTTGTTACATGCATGCTTTGATTTTTTCATTGGTGTGAGATAAAAGCTGCAATGGCACAAGAATGGAGGCTAAAAAACGCAGCTTGTAAATTAAAAGATAAAGAAGGATTAAGTTTGAGAAACAAAAATGAAAGAAAGAGACATTAGGGTTTGAGTGAAACAGTGGTAAAAGCCTGCAGTGCAGTGTCATTTCCGTGGGGATTATTATATCTATCTCATATGCTAGGGCATTTACACCTCCTGTCACTCCAAAACTACAAAAATACCATTCATCTCTAGAAAACTAAATAACTAGAATAATTGAAGTTGTGTTTGGTCGAGTTTTCTAAAACTCATAAAATAAAAAATTATTTTTAGATAATTATAAATATGTTTAGTTTAAATTTTTATCATAGTGGGTTTTTTTTTTTTTTTTTGAGAAATGAAAAATTAAAAACTTTAAAAATTATTTGGTTGATTGTTTTGTTTTTGAAAACTCGATAAAAAAAAAAAAAAAAAAAAAAAAAAAAAAAAAAAAAACATGTTATTATGATCCCCTCTTGTGTTGGAGGACGGGTACATTTGTGCAATGTACCTACTTTAGGGCAATATCCTTATATCACAATGCAACAGATGCGTATGACAAAATGCAATACTCATGCAAACACTTTTAAAAATTAAGTTGTGCAACACATTTACATTAAAAATACAACATATTAAATCAAGAATTTAACATATTTATATAGTTATAACATTCACAATTTAAAATTTTTGCATCCATGATGTAAAATTATTGCACCCGGCATAGGATGCACATAATATATTTGACATAAGAAATGATTGTGGTTCTTTTTTAGTTCTTTGAAAACAGTCCTTTTGTTTTTTTAAGTTATTGATAATTATTTTCAAAGAACTAATCAACTAAACAAACTCTAATATTTTATTTTGTTGGAAGATGGATTGAGGAAGGATGGGAGAAAGAAGGGCTGAATGAGCTTCTCATGTTTGGTTGGAAGGACCCTTCTTGCTTAAGTTTTCTTATAAAATTGAGTGGAATAGATTAGGAAATGATTGAATAACTACCTAAATATATAAAATACTAATTATTTTGACCTTTTAAAAATATATTTTGCGATAAGTGCTCAAAAGTTTAGCTAGCCTTCAAACATAAAGTTCTTTCATACGTGCTTAAATTTTGCTATAAGTGCTGAAAATTTTAGATAGCCTTTTAAGTGCATTAGGTGTGGAGTTTCCACAATTTTAGGTAACTTACTTTTGATGGACAAAGTAACAGGCTTTTGTATAACCAAACAAATAAAAGGACATAATTTCTGGAAAAAATGAATAAAATAAAAGGACATTATTGTAAAGTTACCAACAATATTCCTCTAATAAACAGACAACTTTTCTTCTTTTTTCTTTTAACAACTCTATATTAAACTTTATTCAGATAATGGCAAATACACACTTAGGTGTTGTTTATTAAAATTGAAAATTAAGTATTGAAAGTTTTAATAATTGAATATTAAGTATTGAAGTTTTCAAGTGATAATTAAAAAAAAAAAAAAATTGATATCTTTTTTTTAATTTTCAGAGTTCAGCATTGCGTGATAAGTGATGTCTCTGTCATTTAAAATTTTACTTCATTTTAAGTGGCGCTTACCGTTTTCAGTAATATTTAAATTGCATTATTAAATGCGCTTAATTGAATAAGCGTTAAATTTATTCAGCATTAAGCGATAAATTCAGTTATCAAATAGCAGCTTAATTCATATGCTAATATTTACAGAGGAGGAAAGACCAAGAAGAAAAAGTTTCTTTAGTCTTCATATTTCATTGTGAATAAGTAGGCCCGTGTAATTGTTTTATCTGATTTGGCTAATCCATGCGCTAATATTTATAATGGTTGCTCTCCAAAACCCTAAATTCTGGTGCAAACCCACGAATTTCCAACTCACACCGCAAGTCCAAAACCATAAAATTTTAGCAGCATGGTTTACTGGAACTACTATATTTATATTTTTTAGTTAATTAACAAATACTGGCCACCATTTTGGGGGGAAAAAAAGTAGTAATTTATTTTGAAGTGAATCCTGCCACTAGGGCTGTTCATGAACGAGTTGTTCATGAACAGTTCCGGCTCGGCTCATTCGTTAAAAAAATAAGTCGAACTCGATTTCTAAACTCATTTAGTAAACGAGCCAATCCCGAACATTGTTGGGTTCGGCTCGTGTAGGCTTGTGAACATGAGCTCGTGTAGGCTCGTTTATTTTCATGAACTTGAACTCGTGTATGCTCATTTGTATTCGTTAAATGTACACTCTTTTATAGGGCTCGTTTACATTTATTTTTATTTTTAATGAAATTCTTTAATTTTTGAAATTATAAGATAAATATACAATAATTTACTAAACAAGCTGGTCAATTTTATTTTCTTAAATGAGTCGAGCCCGAGCTTTTTAACACCATGACGAGCCCGAGCTCTGTTTTTTGTGCGTGTCACAAACTAACCCGAGCCCGAACAACCTAAGACTCGACTTGGCTCGGTTCGGTTCATTTGTAGCCCTACCTACCACTAATATCAATTCACGATATTGAATGTTTGGGATGCAAATTGATTGAATACAAGCAAATCGATCCTAATGTATCTAGGTACCACATATACAATACCTTGAATATATGATAGCAAACTCTATTTTTTTTATAAAAAAAAAGTCACCAGCTTGCAAATCTTCTATTTTGAAACACGAAAATTACCACCGGATTATAGCTTTTGGTATACAACAGTGAGACTAGTTTCACGAAACTTTCGATCTTGTTTCTATACTTGGGGCATTCGGAGTGCATACTTCAACAGCCAATTTGAATGTAAAGTGGAGAGAGAATCAGTTAGCATGCATATTAGATGGTCCTTAACACTTAGTGGACCAATTTAATCCCCACTATTCTATTGAGAAAATGACCCTACAAGAGTGTATTATTTTATTTTAAAAAAATTTGTACAATGGTCTGTGTTAAATTGGTCCACTAAATGTTAAATGGCTCAGGATTATCTAATAATTCTAATAATTTTTCAGCAAAATCAAGTGCAAGTGGCCCAGCGGTACCAGACTCCTACTTTCCAAATGATGGTCAGGGTTCGAGCCTCCGTGGAGGTATGTGTCACGCCCCGAATTTTCCAAATAAGATCTTCGATTTATTCAAATCAAAATACTCCAATTTACACCCAGGATCTCAAAAGAAAATACTCCTTTATTGATACAAATCAATTTCCTCAAAATAAAAATACATCTCTAAAATAATTTAAATAAATCCTCAAACACCAATTCTTCCACCTATGCCCGCAACTAACAATCCACAATACTTGAAACTGGAAGGGGGTGAGACGGGGAAAATCTCAGTAGAAAAAACCATAACAAGAATCTCAAAGAGTTTCATGAAAATTAGCTTCACAAAACAATACATATGTTTTTAAACAAAAATATATAATTTAATTTTAACAATATAGCATTTACAAAATATTGAAATAAAATCACCCAGACAATTCAAGGTATAAAAAACCCACACTGTAAAACAATAATTCATCTGTGCATCAAACGTTGGCCCTCTCTCTGTCATCTAACAATCTCGGCCTTCTCACTGTGAACCCTCGGTTCTCTCTATAATTTTTTTCTATCTGTGATTCCTCCAATTCCTTATTTGCTTCCTTACGAAACAGATACTGATATATATAAAGGCAAATTCTACAGACACCAAGAAAATATCAAGGAAAAGTCATGGACCCGTCACCAATTTTCTTTCCATCCTTATCATTTCATTCCATCAGATGCCAACAAACCTATGTGCAAAAAAAATCAAAGTCATGAAGGTTATGCCCAAATATCCTCCTAGTGGGTCCCACGAGTCATTTCAACTTTCTCTCTCCTTTCCCACTTTCAGTGGACCAGCCTACCTTTCCTATTTTTTTTTTCCTTTAATTCGGCTGCCCTTTTTCTTTTCCATCACATAAAACAGACATTAAATATATAAATATATCTCATATATATACAACAAAATCAAAATCCATTTTAAATATCTAAAGTGGGTCCCACACCAAAACACATTACCATAAAAAAAAAAAACAACTTTTCATTCTTTTTATCTTTTTCTTTTATCCTCGTTCGGCTGGTGCATCTCTTCCATCAATACACTTTATATATATATATATTGAAAGTATAAAGAATTTTCCCCCAATTGTAGAGAGAGAAATTTTACACTCCCAATAATCTCTAACCCCTTTTCCCTCTCCATTTTCTTTTTTTATAGACGGTTATAACCACCTCTGAGCTGGGCCTTACTTGTTCTCTTTTGTTTGGACTCGACTTCTTTCATCTTAACATGGGCTTCCGCAATGATTTCTTGGATCTAAGCCCATTCAGCGTAGACTTGCTCCATCCTAGCTATCTATACCCGACCCGTTCTTAACAATACGGATCATACCAAGCTCGGGTCATTTTTGGTGTCTTCATCTGCCCCCAATAATCTCTCCCCTCATTAATAAGGGTGAGATTATTGAAAAGACACAATCTTGGTTTGACAGCTCGGAGCGATGACACGAGGAATCGAACGGCTGGCACAAAAACCCAAACTTCGAGATCTGCTGCGCCACTTTTTGCCTTGACCTTTTGAATTCTGTGTCGCCTTCACCTCTTCTCTTTAAAAACCCCGATCCTTTCAACTTTTATCTTCCTTTAACATAACCTGTTTTTATTCTCCGTTGCCTTCCTGCACTTTCAGGTGATCCTTCTTCCATTTCTCCGGTGAGTTTTTCCTTCACGATTTTGGCTACTGTGATGTTGCTGTGTACATCACAAACTTTCAAGGTCAGTTTTTTTTTACTT